TCTAATAGGTGTAAGCTAATAAAGTAACTGAACTGTTCCTGGATTTGTCTCGCTGTGGTTCCTGGGCTGAACCTGACATCATGTCCACCTTGGTCCATCATGGCTTCTCATCCTTCCTGGAATCTTAAAGATCGTAAGTTGAGATGTCTACTTCTGGCACTGAGTCTTCAGAAGATATCATAATGTGGAGTCCTTGGTGCTCTTTGAGCTTGGATGTTTGCCAGCAGATGCTCCATTCCCTACTCCTTCCTTACCCATACCACAATGTGTCACGATTGTTTCTATCCATTCAACGATCCACCATATAGAAAAAGGAGAAGGACTACCTTCCTTGTATAGTATATTCTTGGAGGAATTATCTGTTGAGGATGGAACGGAATGCCAGTGGTTGCAATTGAAGGTTTCCACAGAGATTCAAGGTATCTGGACCAAGTCTGGGACCCACAATGGTTGGGCCACCATTTTCTTTCTGGCACTCCACTGTGGTTTCTTTCTCAGTGGATGGGAAGCCATGAGGACATCCCAAGGCTGGAGGCTAGAGTTGGAAATTTAAAAAAATAACCCTGGAATCGTGGTATAGTAGCTAGCAGGATGGAAGGCAGACGTTCCAAGTGAACCTGGCCTGTGAACTCATTGTTGAAAAGTGGCCCTGTTTCAGCCACACTAACCCCATCTGCAGAATGGTGTGAACAATAAGAGCCCTCCCATAAGAGGCTATGATAGACCCAACCCAACTCCTACAAGCTTGAACAGCTGAAAATGAGGAGATCAGAGTGTCAGGCCTTGACTCTGGCAAGCCCCCTATTTTTAGTGAATAATCTTTTTGGGGTTCTCTCTAACCTCTGTTGAGTTGCTCTTCCTCCAAATGGCTTAGGACTACAACTCCCAGCATTCTCCAGCCAGCATGTTGGCTCTCTGGGCTAGACATTCTGAGAGTTGGGATCAGGGGGTAGATATTCAGCTCTTCCAGGTCTCCTCTGGTTCCCCGGACTATCGCTTTCTCAAATGCTGGCTAGTTTTCCAATGGAAGTTGCAGCTTCTATTGGGAAAGATTTAGCCAGAGAACATTTCCCTGGGTTCTGAACTACACCTAAATTGAGCTGTGAGATTTAAATGGGTTTTATGCTAATCGGTGCCTGGCACAGCCCAGCGGGCGTGGGAGACCTACAGGGGGTCTAGCCATTCTACCTTGCATGGATCTACGTGCTCACTGTATCCCAAGATCTCCTTTAGAGTATTTGACAATTGCAAATAAATAAGTTATAAATAAATCATCAAGTTCTCTTATTTAATCTGTGCTTAATTTACCTTATTTATTATTTGATGGAATCTGTACTTCCCTCCAAGCAAATCTGATGGCCAGGCTATCGGACTATGGGCCCATCTTGAGGAATATATTGAAAAAAATATTGCAGTCATACTAAGGGCTGGGGACCTAATGCCCAATGGGGTCCGGATGGATGATTTAAACTACCAACAGTTTAAATGCTATTATTCGGATGAAGCCACACAAGAACTCTTTCGCCCAAGGTCAGAGAAAGACCTGGTACTGAAAGCTACTGAAAATGGAAAGCGGGTGCTAACAGAGACCTACTGCATCTTGAAGGGGCCCCAACAGAAAGCAGAAAGCTCACCTTTCTGTTTGTCCCCATACTGGAGATAAATTTCTCTGAACAATTCCAGGTAGAACAGACCAGGCTTGAACAACTAGATTTCTCCAGATAAATCCAGAAGAGAAGATTTAAAAGATACTTATGTGATTCAGTCAACCTGGGGAGGCCCTTGGAGAAGGAATAATCATCTCCCAAGTCTTTATACCTTCCTGGCAAGGAATTTCTCCTGGGGATGAAGAAGTAGATAATGTTTTGGTGGGAAAAGCAATTTGACAATAGAAAGGGGAGAGCATTCAGTTCTTGTGATCAGCCTGTCTAATGTAAACTGACTCAAGGATGAGCTGGGAAGAAAAGATGGGGAAAAAAAGCAGTAAATATTCAGGAGGTATCTTGAAGGGGAAAGGATTTTTGCTGCAAGATGAGAGGCCAGATTGCTGGGCATATGTCAAAAAATAAATATTCTTCCATAGCTGGACGCCCTCACCTATAAATATTTCAATACTCCACCCGTTCTGCACTGAAGCAAGAAAACGTGCCTTTAAGCAATGTGTAAGAAGGCTGTGTATTGCTGGAAGATGCAATTCCTCCTAGTTCAGAAAAAGACAGGAGAAAGATTCATGAAAGTTAGGGATTACAACAATTTTTGGATGGGGTCACCAATGCTTCCGTAGCAAGGCGCCACGTAAGTTGGGAATTCCAGAATCAGAAATGTGACGAGGCTCACCTATTGCACTAAAGGAACAGAGAATTTCCCGTTTTGCAAAGAATTCTGCTTCAATTCCGTTTGTATTTATCACAGCCTTCCGAAAAAACGGCAAACACTGTTTTTATATACGATAACTGCAGCGAGATTATTGCGTGCTCAAAGATGGAAAGATTTGGCAACATCTACCATGGAGGAATGGTTGATGAAGATGACAGAACTGGTGACCGGAAGCCCCTGATGGATTTTTTTGTGTAAAAAAGAAAAAAAATGAACTTGTGATTGATGGTTTTGATGATGAGACAGGATAGACTATAGAAAGAAGAGAATCAAGATGTATTCTTAGAGAGCGAGGTTAAAATATAACTGTACTGATAGCTTGCATCCGTTCTTACTACTGTTGTTAAAACTTTCAGTAAAAATTATCGGATTCTGGAATTCCCAAGTTATGTCGTGCCTTGATATGAAAAATTACAGCTTTCTGAAGATTGCCAAATAAATAAACCAATGAACTGAGACTTTTTGGATTTACAAAGAGTTCTGTTTTGGCTCCCTCCTTCTTTGAGTTTATCTCTTGAATATGATGCAAAGGGAACCGTATTGTGAATCCCGAGGAAGCTATTCTAGGATCACAGTAATTTCCAAATTGGAACCCAACTGAAATTGCTCTGCGGGAAACCAGCTTGCTTGCAACATGATCTTTTCTTGGCACGCGCTTGTCTGGATGAACGTTCTTGAAATCTGGGCAGAAGCCACGCTAAAGTATCTAGTTCAGGGTTGCAAACTGGTTTCCCCCCAACCCCCCAAGGACATGGCATTTAGGAGAAATGGAGGGTCCTTGGATGGACTCTAGTGTCCCTCCTGACCCTTGTTTTGAACAAGAGAGGTTAATGCCTTACTATCGTCAAGTCTTCTCCTTGATTCACCCACCCACATATTTTCTGCAGAGTGCATTTATAAACGAACCCCTTTTTTCTTCTCGGCGCTCTGCCCCCCGACTCCCCAAATTTTACAAACGATCCAGCCCACAGGCACCTCTCATGCAAAGCCATCGTTGATGTAATCGTAGTTTAACAGTAAGCCGCCATTGGCTGGGTGGTTCATAAAACACGCTAACCGGGGGGTCGTATTGAGAAATTGGAAATGTAATATTATTCCAGATGTTAAGGAAGGGTCGATGGAAATGCGTGAGCTCTGTGTTTTGGAAAAGGCAATATATTCTACTAATTAAAGGATGCAGCAATCTGTGTTCCTATGGCAGAGATTTTGTGATATTTTACAATGATCTTTTGCACTGATTCTATTAAGGTAGTGTATGCATTAGGAAACCAGGGACTATTGATAAGTACAAAGTAGTTTTATTCCACTCTTTTTCTTAGCTTGTATTTTTAGTTTGCATGGGATGTCTCTCTTCCATTTTTTAAAAGCTTTTTTTTAAGTTTAAAGATCGTTTTGATCATTATGCATGTATATATTTTTTAGAAAAATACATAAATGAAGGAAAAAATAAACTGGGGATGTATTTTTCCTGGCCCATACTTCACTTTGGAGTGGCCTGCTAAAGTTTAGTGGGGACGGAGGCAGGAGGAAGAAATATAGATTTGATTTCATAAGGACAGACTCAGATGTTTTACTTTTTTATTATTACACTTGTGCTCATCCTCCTTTTCTCTTTCTTTCTCTCCCTCTAGCCCTGCTCTTAGACATTATCATTGTAGCTGGCTTACAGAAAGTGGCAAAACGGAAAAGTCCTTATGATGTCAGTCCAGGTGTTTTGGACTACCTGACCATGGATGTCTATGCCTTTCCTGCGGGTCACGCTAGCCGAGCTGCTATGGTTTCCAAGTTCTTCCTCAACCACCTGGTTCTGGCAGTCCCGCTTCGAATCCTACTGGTCCTTTGGGCCTTCTTAGTAGGACTCTCCCGAATCATGGTGGGACGCCACCACGTCACCGACGTCCTTTCTGGCTTTGCCTTTGGTTACATCCAGTTCCGGTTGGTGGAAATTCTGTGGATGTCTTCTAACACGTGTCAGATGCTGATTTCTATGTGGTGAGGAGGAGTGACGCCCTCAGCTTTCTTTCATTTTCTGTTTTAAGACACAGACAAGGCGAGAGACTTCTCAGAAAGGGAGGTGTTTGGCAAAGGAACCATGGAGTATCTTCTTCCAAGAAGCTGAACCTCATGAGGCTGAAGAGACAGTTGGGTCTAATTGGGAATATCTTCTGGGAAACATTGAGACTGGCTGATGTATTTGGCTGTTTTTTCCATGGCTCCCAACCAGAAAGCAAATTCAATGAACAAGGACAACATTGCATTCTCCTGCTAACTGGCTGTTGAGACAATGCACTCTGAAATCTCACAGCTCTTGCCTTTTAATATGGAGACGGTTGTAGCATGTCTGGTCATGGAGGTTGAGGAATATAGGATGAGATTCCTTCCTCAAGTTGAGGTGTCTGCCAGTTGTGTGGAGACTATCATTCTTGGAAACCCCACTTCTATGCCTACTTTCCCCAACCTGGGCATCATCCAGATGTGTGAACTTCAGTTTCCAGAATTCCCTAGTCAGTATGGTCACTGCTAAGAATTGTGGGAGGGGAAGGGCATCCTCAACATGTATGGACTTCAGCTCCCAGAATTCCTCACCAGCATCTGGTCCTCATTGAGAATTCTGGGAGCTCAAGGGCACCGTCCAGAAAGGTGGATTTCAACTCCCAGGTTGGGAATTCTAGAAGCTGAAGTTCATGCATTTGGAGGGTGCCCCATGGGGAAAGACTCACACCATGCCTTATAAATTCCTGATAATAACACAAGAGTGTTGTGGCATCTCTTACACATTTTTCCTTATTTTAGTGCTCATTTCTTAACCCAGCAAAATTCTGCTTGGCAGATGGGAAGGAAGCAGTGAGAGAGTCAGTGGGTAGGGTGGTGGACTAGGGTGGAAAAAGTACTCCAGTTCAAATCATCATTAGCTGCAAAATTCACAAGTCAGTAGCCAAGTTCACACACAGGATGCCCCGATGTAAACCTTCATTTACAAAATAGTGGCTGAATTCACATATCGTGCAGAACAATAATCAAACAATGAATCTATGGCTTAGAGAGATGTATAAGGGCAGGAAAAAGTTGAGCTCCAACATTATGCTTAAGTGGGGTTTGTTGTACCATCAGTGGTCAAGTTCACAAAAGATGCTAAGCCATAAACTAGGAACAACAATGGCTGAATTTGTCAAACCAAGCCAACCGCTTGTGGGGCGTGAAGGGTGAATCCAGACATTGTAAACCCTACTTTATAACCAAATGATGTGTCAAACAAGTAAACTGTGGTTTATGTGCTAATCATGCTTAAAGAAACCCTGACTTAGGATTCATTTAAGCAACCCTGTTGCATTTTTAAATCATGGTTCATGCAGGGTGGCGTTTATGCAAACGAGGCCCCTATGGCTTGCTTATTCAAACTGTGGTTAGGTGAACCATAGCTTAATGTTATAGGTGAAGTCAACCAATATCACCAACTTCACAGAGGCATTGTGAGGCTAAAATGGGGGTGAATGAAGCATTGTCAACTTCTTTTGAGGGAGAGCCAGGTAGAATAATGAAATAACAAGTTAGGGTTAAATATGGCTGTTTCCCCTGTCCATTACATTGGGTGATCTAGAAGGCATCAGGTGGATGTTGTAGTGATCTTTACAGTCTTTATCATTTGATAAAGCTGGATTTTAACTTGTAATAAAGGGTCTGACAAGTTTGGCCTTGTTTGTTCCTTCTAATATTTTTGACAGGGCTTCCAAGAAAAGATGGAGAAGCTATGAGCTTGTTGGGTGCAGCCATTAGGAACCGATCTGACCTGGTGCTTTTCACAAGACTGAGGCCTAGCTGAGATGAAAAATGCAGAAGAAGCTGAATCTCAGAAAACAGAGAGGCCAAGTCACATCAGGGCACATCTTGTCCTGTTGAGGACCAAGAAAGGAGAGTCCTGCAAGAATGGCTTTAACTATCAACCAGAATCCCACAATATTTGAAGAGCCCCTCTGCTCATCCTTGGCTGGGATTGATACAAGAGATTATCTTGAGATCTCTTCACTTGTAGCTTTAAGTTACTTTGATGCCTGGGGTCCCACTCCATGTTCAGCTACAATTGTGGTTGGTTCTTTCATGGCAGAGGTTGATGGATGATGATCTCACAGTAGGGGGTAAAGAAGATGACCTTGATGGAGATAGGCAAGAACCTAGGGAAAAGGAGCTGAAACGTTTTTTTTTTAAGTCCAAAACTATCAGATAACATTTGGAAGTGGCTCAGATAGACACCTCCCTAATTCACAGGAGTATAAGGAGGAGGAGGAGGAGGTCCGGCACAATCAGATCTGCAAGAATCTGTTATTATAGCCTATCTTAATCAAAGTAATTTTAGCCTTCCTGTGGAATCAAATTCATGGTCTGGTCTACCCAGTGGGGCTGATGCCTCAGCTCTGAGAATGAGGAACCAAAGACTTCCTGCACCTCAGGATGACCTGAATTATCAGTATTAGACCTGAATGTGTTTCAAACATCACACGGGCTGTTCTCTTGCAGCACTAATAGTGCCCCCCAAAATTCACAGTTCAGTCGTATCAGGGATGCCCAATTAGACACCCTCCAAAAGTTGTGGGCAAGCCTACGTTGTCTTCAAAGCTGTCCCCCAATCTTTCATGGGACAGAAGGGGAAAATTATTCAGAGGGAAATGTATGCATCTGAAATGGGATGTGGGAATGACCTTGAGAGACAGGAGGAAGAGCTGCAGACTAGACTACAATTAGATAAGGGGCAGCTGAGCCCAGAGGAGCAATGGAGGTGTGGCAAACATCCCAGAAGGGACCGTCCCTAGTTTGTTGGGCTGTAAAGGCGAGGGGGGAGAGAGGTATTTTCAGACTTGCAAGATTCTGTTAATGTAACCTTACAATAAAGTTAGAGCTAGTACTTCTGGGTGTGCTTCTTGTTTGGACTACCTTGCAAGGCTGACATCAATCTTGCAAGTCTCAAAGCACCTCTCTCTTCCTGTTGCCTTTACAGCCTGAGAAACTAGGGAGGGTTCCTCCTGATCCTTTTTCCCCTCCCACTATCCAGCTGAGGGCTATGCTGTCTCTTATCTGACTATTGCCCTGGCTCCCATAGCATATGCATAGCTAAGGTGGAGAAGCATAGCCAGAAACAAATGCAGCAATTAAAATACTTATTTGCAGAAAGAGACAAAGATCATGGTTTAGCCTGCTCCTACTGAAGTCTGTGCTTCAGCAGAAGCAGGATTGAAAGATCACTTTCTGGAGTCTGGCAAAAAGAAAAACAAAATCTCCAAGGATTAGTCAAGTCGAATTGTGCAGAAACATCAGTGGGTTCACACAACTTGCCTCCAAAAGAAGGAATTTTGCTTCTGTCTCTATAGCAACCATTGCAGATGGAGGGATAACTCTATTATAATGCTTTTATCATCGGAGTTGATCAGCTTGGAACATCCACCCAAGAGCATCTGGATTTTCTGTGCCCACCGGGCGGGGGGATATCCTTGACAAATTGAACGAAGCTAATGCAATTGAATCAAATTGAATTGAATTGCTCTGGGGCTTGTAACACCTCTGCATAGCCCACAGCCAATTAACTGGAAAGGCCCTATGCCCTCCAAAATAATGTTAACTGGCTATGCTGGTCTATGGCCATAATAAAGGTTTGATTTGATTTGAATGTTAATTGGCTTTGGCATGCTATTTTTCAGATTTTCAAAATATGTTGGCCAAGGATTGGAAGACTATGCTTCAAAAATTTGGAAGAGCTGGAATTTCTAGGGATATCCTTCCACAAACTCTAGATGATGTCAAGTCACCATGCAGAGAACACCCTGCCTATCTGTTTTCTTAACCCTGTGGTCTCAATCTGATGGGGTTCCCACCACTGTAGCGATCTGGAAGCCAAGGATGGGAAATTTATGATTCGCTAGATGTTGCTGAAATATAACTCCCATCAGGCCAGAAATTCTGGGAATTGAAGTTCAGCAGCACTTTTGGGGAGCTTCCACCCATGACCTAAGCAAGAATTTAGTCTTGGTTTTGGAACAGAAGGCAAGACCAACTCAGTTTTCTGATAAGATGAGTTGGGTGGAAGTAGCACCTTGGACAGCATCTGACCAGCTCAAGGTGGGAATTCTGAACAGAATCAAATGTTGCTTCAGCAACAGGCCTCAGATTGAAGTCAAAATCTAATAGATGCTGTTCCTTACTTCTTACTAATGCATACTTATTTAATGAGCTTTCCAACGGGTGAGTTTTAATACTTTAATTAGCACCTCATGTTTTTTCTTCATACCCAGCCATTAGCCATGTACATTTCTTGATCTTTCTTTTGATGGAACCCCAGTAAGAAAATTCATACAACTGAGAAGCGAGTCAGCCAACCATGGATATCAATGGGCGATGCTTTGAAAAAACATCAGATACGTTTTAATTTTAGCTCAATGGGCGCTGAAAGAATCATGAAATGGCCTTGCAAAGCTCACCAGGGCTATTCATTTCCAAGGCATGGATCTGCAAAGTCCAACATCTCACCAAATAATTTTGCAAGCCTTTGGGGTTACCAAAATGAGAGAAAGAAATTTTTCTCACTCAGTTTTCTTTACAACAAGATAGGTCATCGATTGGCAGTAGGGTGCCGGAGCAAAATGTCTAGAGAAACATGGTATGTGTAAATGTTGTTATTTTTCCCTGGTTTTTTTTAAAGAGGAGGTTGGAATGTGTGTGTTTTTTCAAACCATCTTAAGCCACTTAAGGAGATAATGACACTCTTGAGTTGAGCTCCTGGAAGCTTTGCAAACATGGACATGTTCTTCTTGGCAACAGGATGTACACTAAGTAGTTTGTCATTGCCTTCATTTTTAATTCTCAGTCTAAATTCCAACCTGGGTTGCCTCCCATCCAAGTATTATGCAACAAGGAACCTGCTTAGCATTTGGGGATCAGCTGAGGTTCTCTCTACGCCATCTCTCCCTCCAGACAAAGTGAAATTTCCCTTGAGTTGCGTTCAACTCCTGCTAATACTATGTCATTTTCTTGGAACAATATGGTAGCTGTTAGCTTTTTCCTGGATTTTTCTCCTACCTTACGGGAGGAGAAGTAGGTCAGGGGCATTAGCTTCATTCCATTTAACTTTTTCTGAAATCAGCTCAGTTGGGTTAGGTGTGACCACTTGCCTTTTAATATCTGCCCAACAATTTTCATTTATTCCATGCTTCAGACTGATAGGAAAACATCCAGGTGGTAATTATGCCTTGTGATGACTTGAGGCCATACCAAAGGAATGGTCAGATAAGAGGGAGCATAGCCCTCAGCTGGATAGTGGGAGTGGCAAGAGGCTCAGAAGGGACCCTCCCTAATTTCTCGTGCTGTAAAGGCGATGGGGGGAGAATTGTCCTTTCAGACTTGCAGGATTCTGTTAATGTAGTTTTACAGTAAAGTAGAATTAGTTCTGGTCATGATTCCTATCTGGTCCACCTTACTGAATCTTTAACAGCTTTCCTAGTTCTTACAATAAACATACTTATCAAGAGCTTTACTTTCTTATGAGATACACTCTACTCCATGTTTACTATCTTGTATTATCCAACAAAAAGATGCACTCCGAAAGGATTTAATCCCAGAACACTAAGCAATTGCGTGCAGGCTTGTGCTGAGAAGCCAACGCTTAATGATTATTCATTTAGCCTGTTTATTTACTACTTGTCACACCCTATGAATCCAGGCAGTGAGCGCTATTAAAATCCTGTGCTATTTAAAATGCAATCGAACGTGGAAGGAATAAAAATGGATTTATATATCTAAACCGTATGAACTGGAGGGGAGAACGAAGGGAGCAATTCCGTTATGGATCAAGGGGGAAAAACAGTTCCTTCCCCTGTTGCTGAATTGGAACGACGTTTTATTTTTATTTTATTTATAGGAGGATGTTTATTATTTGTTTAATGGCCCCTGTTTTGGTTTTGATGGTGTTGTGGTTTATGAGATCATTTTAGTCTGGGCTGTTTGATTGAATGTTTTTAGCTGTTTTTCGGATTTTGATCGTTCTGAATGCTGCCCAGACTCCACTGGAGTTGGGTGGCCAAAAAAATTTAAATAATAA